GGTTCCATAATTCGTTTTAATCCTGACTCCATTATTCGAGTCTACAATTTCTATGTTTGACACCGACACATTTTCAACAATGTTATAATCTCTGCCACCTGCAGAACCAGTTGACACACCGTGACCACCAGAACAATAGCTGTCCTTAACCATAATATTGGTACCAGATTTGATGGCAACGCAGTCATCTTGATTGTAAATTTTAATACGTTGAATTGTGACATTATTGTATGTCCATATATTGAACCCGTCTGTGTTTTTACCACCTAAGGTATCTCCATCTATACTGTCTACGTAAATATCCTGTGCTATAACTCCATCGCTTTCTTTAATCCAAATAGCGTGTAAAGACGGATTTCTGATAGTTATGTTACGAATAATGGAATTTTTTATTTTGTGTACTACGAAAGATATCGGCTTGATTATGGCTCCACTTTCTCCTTTACCATCCCACCATAAGTTTTCTCTTACGTCCAACAAATGTGACCATTTGTTGGAGGGACACCGCTGATTTCAACATTTATACCAGTGATATTAACTAGTGGACCATTCCATGGGAAGAATTCTCATGTTGTTGTTCCTTGGAATATGAGTTTTGCTTCTTTACTCAAATTTAAATATAAAGTTACACCGGCCGGCCGGAACGTTTATTCCATTTAATGTAATTGTAGCGCAGTTCTTTTCAGTGTCTTTAATGAGGTCTTCATTGTACGTTGTAATGGTGCAAGTAGCAGCGAGGGTTGATTGAACAGCTGCTAAAATTCCCAATATAAGAAGTCTACCAACAATTGAAAATTGCACTTTTATGAATCACCTGAAATATTGGGATGTTTTAGAGGCGGTAGTTGTAGTCGTTTATTTGAACATTCATATTATATGAAAGTAGTAATAAATAATATCTTATTTTAGCGTTAGATCTACCTATTTAAATTAATCTGTATCGATATGTACCATAAAAAGCAATATCTTTTAAGTTGCTTTAGTTAATACCTGTTTTTTACATAATTACGACATAATACCTTATATTTTCCTACAAAAATTTTCACAATGTTTTATTTCTGATGATAGTTTACACAAGTACACAAAAAAAAGTCCAAACCCAAGATTCCACATATCATTTCTGAAGGAATTCGATGCGTTGAAGTTCTGTAGTCAAAATTCATGTCTTGCCATTGGATTTCCGAGAAAAGTGAAATTTTTGGGTGAAAATGCCCAAAATGGGTCAAACCTAATTTTTTCCTAAGTTTTGTCCAAATATACAAGGTGTCCCAGTATAATGTGTACAACGGAAGACCACGGATTCGTGGACTCAAAATAGGTAGATTTAGGCTAATTCACCTATATCCAAAATCGCTTCGTTTAACCGCTAAATGGCCTCAAAGATTGTGAAAATTGTTTGAATTTTGTAAATAACTGAATTTGTATTATTTGATTTTGATTATATTTGGGGTGTGGACTTTTGCTTTCAATCTATACATTTTGGTGTTATACAGAGTATTTTTTAACACCTGCAACTCCTACAAAACTGATGTATGGTGATAATATCCGTTCATAACTTTTTCCTCCTTTGGGCAATAATGACAAATATTTTTTATCTGATAGGTGATACGATTTGGAGGTTGTTGGGCCTCTCGTAGAATTTTTATTAAATGAACTGTTTGGGTACAAAAAATATTGGCGAATTTTTTTTAGAATTTTTGCAAAACACTTTACCCGAGTTATTGGAAGGTGTGCCGTTATTGCTCAGAGCTAACATGTAGTTTATGCATGATAAAGCTTCACCACATTTCACTGTCAATGCTCGGCAGTATCTGAACCAAAGATTCCCCCGTCGATGGATCGGTAGAGGGGATAATGTTCCTGTTAACTGCCTGTTCGTTCACCAGACTTAACACCTTGCGACTATTATCTTTGGGGTACTTTTAAAACAACAGTGTATGTTTCCACATCTAACACTGAAGAAGAGTTGTGGGAGACATATCCAAATTGCCATAAATGTTTTAAAAAATTGCCCTCAAAAACTGCAAAGAGTGTCCTTTTACTTTCTTCGCTGAATTAACATTTGTTGTAGAAACAACGGTGGTCAATTTGAATAGTTTTTATAATAAGTTGTACTAAATCTAGTAACATCAACTTTGTTACTGTTATCTCCAGCATTTTTTATTGTATTTGATTGTTTTACTAGTTATCTCAATAAAATTAGGCATGTTGTAAATAATTCTTCGTATGTATGTGTGTATCCATATCGAAGTAACATATGGTATATCTTATCATAGTAAACACTCATTAAGAATTGGTACTATGACTTAAAGATCAAACTGAAATTACAGTCAACCTACAAAATCAGTGCCTACTAGCACTGTTATTGTAATATGGGCAGCAAGATAATGTAGACATTTGAAAAGTATTTTTTTGTACCCAAACACCTTATTTAATCAAAATTCTACAAGAGGCTCAAAAACTGCTAAATGGTATCACCTACCAAATAAAATATAGTTGTCATTATTGCCCGAAAGAGGAAAAAGATATGAACGGATATTATCACCATACATCAATTTTGTAGGAGGTGTAAGTTTTAAAAAACGCTCTGTATAACAACAAAATTTGTAGATTGAAAGCAAAAGTCTACACCCCAAAAATAATCGAAATCGAATAATACATATTTGAATTATTTACAAAATTCAAAAAATTTTCACGAACTTTGTGGCCATCTAGCGGCCAAACGAAGCGATTTCGAATATAGGTGAATATTAGCCTTAATCTGCCTATTTTGAGTCCACGAATCTGTGGTCTTCCGTTGTACACGTTATTCTGGGACACCTTGTATATATCATTTTCGAAGTATTTGTCGCTGAGCACGATGCCATTAGTAAAATTTACCCATGATCTGGACATTTCTCAGAAAATCTACTGTTTGGGTGAAAACTGGTCCAAATATGGGCCGGAACTGTTATAGTTTATATAGTTTATAGTTTTTTGAGGTGCAATTTTCCCATTAGCTCGATATTTCTCAGAAAATCCACTTTGAGTGCATACTGGTCAAAATTCTACGAAAATGATATTGTATTTGGACAAAATTTATTAAAAAATCTGTTTTGACCCACAATTGGACCAGTTTCACCCAAAAATTTCACTTTTCACCGAATTTGTCTTGAAGTCATGAATTTTGACATCAGGATCGTATTCAGGGCATCGAAATCCTTCGGAAATGGTATGCGAGTCTCTTGGGTTTGGATTTTTTTTTGTATGCCTGTGTTATTAAAATAAATTATTTTATAAAATCTACTTTTGTCTTTTGACAAGTTTGAATGATTTCTTATATTATATTCATGCGTTTTAAATATACATATAACATTGTTTAACAAATATACACAAATATATACAGGGTCGGAAAGTCCCCATGGTTCATCGGCCGTTACGTGGAGCGATAAAGAAAGTCATAGAAATCCGTGCGATAGAGAAAGATGGCTATAATGAAAGCGTCTAATAGTCACCGCCCATTTCGCCCTTCCACAAATAAGAAGTGGATCTTATTTGTGGAAGGGCTTTCTCTATCACACGGATTTGTATAGCATTCTTTATCTCTCTCACGTAACGGCCGATGAACCATGGGGACTTTCCGACCCTGTACGTTATATTTTATTTTACCAGTAGGTATATATAAATTCAAATGTTTTATAAATTCTTTGTTTAACAGATAAAAAATTCAATATATGATGCATTTTGCCGATACAGGTGTATATACGCATTGTGCGATTTTGAAATTTTTATATAGGTTTGCATTTAATTTTATGAATAAAACTAAAATGCGGTAACACTATTGATTGATATAGCAATATTTTAATGATCTTACTAAAATATTTACTTATGCGATTTAAAAATCTTTGTGACATTTTGCTCATGACGTAATTAACTTGTTTCTTGAACTTTTGATTTTCATTAGGATATATCACTAAGTATTTTATTTCTGTTGTCCTTTCAAAGCATGCATTTTAATTTTTAGATTTATCGAATCTGTTGACATATTTAATTTAAATTATGATTGAAAGATAATAAATTTACTTTTGTTAACGTTAATTGAGAAATTATAATCACATAACCAATTGTAGACATTATCAGATTAGTCATATGTAAAGGAACATATATTGATTTATAATAATTCAATTATTTTGTATTTGGATATGATTTAATATTTCAGAAATAAATGTTGAGATTTAATATTACACACACTGTAGAATCTAAGAAATTACACGAAAAGTGAAAAAGGCAGTGTAAATATAGAATCAATTTGATTTTGGCAAAATGTAAACATTGATGGAAAAAAGTAACAGATTTACAAGTATTGGTTTAGAAAATTATTCAAAATACATAATTTTCCAGTTTATAAACTTTACAATGTTTCTTTCTCATAATGAAAACGCAGTTTTTTTAATTTAATAATTAAGAATGTGGTAGTTACATTTCTTACATTTAATAATTTTTATATTGTTTATTAATATTCAATAATTTGTTATAAAACAGAAATATTTACTTAGCTTTTTAAAATATTTATGTACAGGGAAATAATGAATATAAATAACTATATTTCAAATCTATTCTAAAAAAAATAAATTATTTTTATGTATAACTTTAATTTGAAAAGACTACGAGTTTAATTAGATATTTAGCTACCTCAGAGACTATACTTACAGATAGGAGACCAAGTATTGGAAATGTAAGAATTGTTATGATATTGTGCTTGTCGGAAAATAGGTCAAAGTTTCAAAAGTTTGTTTTTGATCTACATGTACGTATTTTTCAAGAATGTTCATGTTTTCATCTACAGTATTTGGTATTCAGTACTAAAATCAATTACCCTTCAAGCAATGCAATTTTATATGAAATCTTTATACCACAATTGTAGTAGTAACTGTAGTATTTGTAATGTTTTAAAATTTTTAAGACTAATAAGCATGCTTATTAATTTTAACAACTAGTCTGAAATAAGCAGTTAAATCTACTACATTTTATTAATTTTTTATTAATGAGTTTAAGAAAATGAGAAACTACTAAGATATACAGGATGTAAATCAATAAGTGCGAAAAAATTCAAGGGGTGATTCTCTGTTCAAAAATAGGGTACTTATCAGTTATTTTTTTTCTGAAATACCAAAAAAGTGGCGGAAATTTGTTGATTTCCCCCTACGGTTGCAAAGCCACCCTTCAGAATTACTTTATACTTACTCGTTTTTTTCTTATTACTACTTTACCATTTAATTCATATAGCCTGATTTTTTCTAAACAAAATAGATTTCTTGTAACTTTTTCGTAAAATTTACGATTTCTGGCCTAAAAATTTATGTAAAATCTATTAGGTACCTACATGGTATGATTAGCATAAGGTAGAAATTTTATCGAACTGAATTTATCTAGTAGGCGATTGTCACGTTGACATTTTGTAATGGCAACTTAATTGTTGTTAGTAAGATTGCAGTTGTTCTTTACTGATACACTGTGATCGTTTTGAATAATTCTGTGCAAATTCATCAAAATGAAGTGTACTCTAATGTAGAGAGTTGCATTAATTATAATAATTAAGTTTCCACTGTTTTGCATATATAATAATTAAGTTTAATTGTTTACTGAGTGCCTTCTCGGTAGCAAAAAATGTTTACTTATTTGGTATTTCAGAAAAAAAAATAAAAACTACTTTTTTGGCGCCGTCTTTAAGCGGTTGTATTTTCACAGGGGACGTTCAAATCAGATTTTTTTATATGAAGGACGCACCATATTTTTCCACATGTAATATTGAATTTTTTCGCACTTATTTATTTTCACCCTGTATATGTGTACAGTATTGACTTAACAGCAAGTAATTCCACTGTCTTCTGGAATACCATAGCATTCCTGAATTACTTTTCCACCAGTTATATTAACTTCAGTCCAATGCCAGTCGGAAGCATTCTTTACCTGTATGTATACATTAGTACCAGTCTCTTTAACAGTGCCAGAAATATTTTTCAACGTAAATTCCTTAATCGGGACACCACCAGTGGCACCGGCACTGTGGTTACCATAATCACCATGAATTCTAATACCGAATTTGTTTATATCCTTTAATGTAACATTTTCGTATGTAACATTGGTAACTGATCCAGTAGTCCCATAATTTGTTTTAATCCTGAGTCCATTGTCTGAGTTTACAACGTCTATGTTTGACAGTGATACATTTTCAACAATGTTATAAACTCTGCCACCTACAGAACCAACTGACACACCATGACCACCAGAACAGTAGCAGTCCTTAACCACAACATTGGTACCAGATTTAATGGCAACGCAATCGTCTTGATTGTAAACTCTAATACGTTGAATTGTGACATTATTGGATGTCCATACGTTGAACCCGTCTGTGTTTTTACCACCCAATGTATCTCCATCTATGCTGTCTACGTAGACATCCTGTGCTAGAACTCCATCGCTTTTTTCAATCCATATAGCGTGGAAAGACGGATTTTTGATATTTATGTCACGAATTATGGAATTTTGTAGTCCGTGTACTACGAAAGATACCGGTTTGATTATGTCTCCATCTTCTCCTTTACCATCCCACCATAAGTTTCCTCTTACGTCCAACAAGTGGTCAGGGGCACCGCTGATTTCAACATTTGTACCAGTGATATTAACTAGTGGACCATCCCATTCGAAGAATTCCCATGTTGTTGTTCCTTGGAAGATGAGTTTTGCGCCTTCATTCAAATTTAAATCTAAAGTTACGCCGGCCGGAACGCTTAATCCATTTAATGTGATTGTGGCGCAGTTCTTTTCAGCATCTTTAATGAGGTCTTCATTGTACGATGTAATGGTGCAAGTAGCAGCGAGGGTTGATTGAACAGCTGCTAAAATACCCAATATAAGGGGTCCTCCAATTACTAAAAATTTCATTTTTATCATTCACCTGAAATAATGGGATGTTTTAGTGTAGTAGTAGTCCTTTATTTCACAAGCTGTTTAACATTCATTTTACATTAATGTAATAAGAAATAATAATGGCTAGTTGAAGCGTTAGATTTATCTATATTAATTAAACTCTGCCGATATGTACAATAAAAAACAATTTTCTTTTAATTACTTGATACCTGTTTCACACAAATTTTTATTTGTAATGACAGATTATAAAAATAAATAAATTTTTAAAATGGCATATTTTACGTCTTATTTTTTGTTTAGTTTGAACACAAAATTTGATTGACTTTTTGTATTCATGATTTTCAAATATATATTTAACATTGTTTAACAAATATTCGGGTTGAAGATTAAGTAGGTATATTTTATTATACGAGCTATATGATGTAATGAACCTGTTTTATTTGTGATTTTATTAAGTCTGAATTTAAAGATATTTCTTTTTATTTCGGATTATTTTACCCGGGCAGCGAGAATTATTGATTTTTCTACATATATATCAAATATCCACTCGCGGGCCCGACCGACCGATACCCCACTCTGACAAGCCGTTGGTCACGTGGAGGTCCCACCACGACTGGTGTCAATCCGGTGGGGATTTGGGTAACAAAAGTCCTCGACATTCCCCGAAACCGACAGTTCGTATCCAGAACTCAATACCGAACAGACGTCCACCGCCAGCAAGTACTTTCCACCGAAGCCAGCCCGGAATAACCAGTGAACCTAGTAAGAATTATTTTCCTTATTATTATCCGTTCCAACCGGGTACAAGTCCTAAAAGATTTGTACACTTTAAGTGTGGAATTACTGTGGGCCCGAGAAGAATATTCTTGGTAACCCACACACAAATTCCACCGTCCGTCTCAACCCGCACGACAGTGCAATCGTTGGATTCGGCGTGTTAAACCCAATCCTGACGAAGCCGTCGTGTTTACTACAGCGTTGCTTGGTGTCCCGCACCTTGATGTACGCTGGGTAATAGGGGATATGTGAACCAAGACCTAGAGGTTCGGCGTGCCCACCCAATCTCCGGGTCGTTCCATATAGTATACGTACGCTTCTCCCTGGTCGGCGTGTATACCCATCAGACCGAGAAGCGTTGTATACAGAGAGTCGACACCATCGGTCACCAGGACGTATAAAGCTTAAAGGCTAGTACGAATTGTAAAGCGAGATACTTCGGATCCCGTTTCACCATCCTATCTTTCCGCCTTGCACCGCTTAGGTTTTCTTCGCTGGTTATTGCTATCGCTTCCCGCTTACCGCATTCCGCTTACCAATTTTGCATTGCTTGCTAGGCCATGATACCGATATTTGACCGCCCGCCTGTTTAAAATAAGTCCGAAATAATTCCGAATAAATTTTGGTTTATTTTCAGAATCAGCGGGGACCAGTAAAAAACGTCTATAAATATTTTATCAGACCGTTTAAAATCACCTTTTCCTTTGTACATAAAAACCGTCTACGATTGTAGAGTAATAAATATTTTATTTTGATCCCGTTTGCAAATATTTATTTCTTTTCTAAAGGTGATAAGTAAAAGTGTAAAAAACCCAGACCCATAACTTTTTAATTTTGTCTCTTTCACACTGATTTTGTATATAATTATTGTTAATAAACTTGTAAATAATTTCAGGCGTTTAGTAGTGGGTAGGAATAAAATTGACACTATATGTATTTGTAATAAGTATTAATATTTTTCCTGTGTGAATAAATCTAGTAAAACTTAATAGGTTTGTTTCTTTTACCGTCGAGGTAAAACGATAACATTCCAAACCAGCAAAAACGCTGATATCGTTTTGTAGAGCTCCCGTTAAAATTCATATCTAAAATAAAACTACACTGAGAAAACTACTCTCTGCTGTACTCTCTGCCGTTTTCTCCTAAAAGAAATTCATTGACCCCTGGAATTTATTTTCTTCACTGTAGCTACCTGTGCACTTTACTCTAAACCGAGGGTAAGGGATACGTGGAGTTTCCCCCACGTCAAATTTAGGGAAACTGGCGCCCGAGATTAAAACCGACTATATAAGTTATTCACTAACATTACCGTTTAGAGTCCAGTCCGAGGAATAGAAGACCTTTCCGAAAAAATTACCATAGTTAAAAGTAATAAAATTTACACCGAACGATCCATAGAGAGAGAACCGAGGAAAAGTGCGTCACAATGTATATAAATTTAAATGTTTTGTAATAAATTCTTTGTTTAACAAAAAAAAAAAAACAAAACTTGCATTGCATTGTTGATATAGGCACAGACAAAATAGCTTATCGCCAAGCTATTTTGTCTGTGATATAGGTATCTATTACATTTTTATAAACAAGGCATATGAATAAAACTAAAATGTGGTAACACTGTTGAATGATATAGCAATATTTTAGGGCTTTTACTAAAATATTTACCTGCCCGATTTAAAAGTATGTGACATTTTTCCTGTTACAAAATTAACAATTCTTTTATTTAATTTTAGATTTCCATCAAGATGTACCCCTAAGTATTTTATTTTGTTGTTCCTCAAAGACTATAAATTTACTTTTGACAATATTAATTGACAAATTATAATCCTTATAAACACGTAGTCTCTTTTCTTACATATAATAATTTATTCGTTTATTGTTAAAATACTTACTTAGCTTTTTAAAATATTACGGTACGGGGAAATTATGAATATAATATTTTAAAATTAATAACCAATTTTTTGTTATTAGCATCATTTGCACTGATTTGATATTACGTATTGCATTTTTAATGGGCGACATTGTTTCATGTCAGCTTGAATAAAAAAATAATAATTTCATCCCTTGAAAACAACGGTCTATAGGACAAATTTTCATATTCTTTCATATATTGTATTGCCCTTAGAATTTATTGTACGTTATTCTGAAAGATCCTATATAGAGTGAGTCAGTCATAACGTCATTAATTTTAACCACATATTTGGAAGGCATAATAAAGACAGAAAATCGAAAAAATATTTACTTGACCTTAAAAAATAAGCAATTTACCCCTTAACTCCCGTTAACTCGGCGCCTTACCGAAGTAAGGCCTTACTGCGCAGCAGGAGAACGTTCGAACGTTGAAGCGAAACAGATGATTTCCCTAGTCGTCTTGAATTTTGCAATTGGTTTCAAAATCAAAGTGCAAGTGCGATGGACGGATAAATGTTTTTTTAACCGTTTTAGTATTTTAAATAGGTAGGTACCACACTACTCTTTGAAAACCAATAAGTCACTAGATATACGTACGACAAACTGAACAAGTAATTGAACGTAACACCAAAAACCCATATTTAATTACAAAACATAGTGAAAACGTTAATAATATTAAAATCGTAATAACCTAGAGTTCGAGACAATTATTATAATATAATATATTATAATAATATATCTCTACTCCTCATTCTAACTACAAGAATTAGACCATNTATATTGTATAATTATTTATTAAATATATCGCATAACAAAAAAGTGAGTATAATGAACATATCAAAATAAGTGGCGATATCCAACGGAGTGGTTCAGTATAACCATCCTAATACAAATATAATTCCACAGAAAAAAAACAATATAAAAAAATATAAATCAGAAATAACTCGATTAAGTACAATAAATTCTTTCATCCTTTTTCTGAATATAGCAATATTACAAGAAAATTTGATGTTTACTGGTATCGAATTAAATACATTTGCAGAGTTGTAAGTATTACTTACAACTCTTTAAAACGCTTTAAAAGCTGCTATGGAATAAAGTTAGTCTGTGCTTGGGTACATCTAAATGATCACGATGTCTAGTGATATAGTCATGTATATCAGAATTTTTTATAATTTTGTCATATAAGTATTGCGGTTGTTTCGCTAAAACTTTATATACAAAACATGCTAGGTGAATTACAAAACGTTCATGTAGTCATACAAAACTGCAGATATATGTTCATATTTTCTAATGTTATAATAAAACATAAGGCAAACATTTTAGATTGTTTGTAAAGAATATTTATCTCTTTCCAACAATGTAGGCCAGTAAACGATATCACAATATGTTACTCGAGAAAGAATTATTGAGTCACACATTCGTAACTTAACATCAGTAGATAAAATATCCTTATACATATAAAAAGCTTTTAATTTACCAAGAGTAATTAATCCATGAGCTGAAGCATATCTACTGATAGCAGCAAGATCTGAATTAATATTATCAACAGCCTTATCGAGGTCACGATAATCAAAAGAATAATAGATTTGAGTGTCATCAGCATACTGCACTGGTGTAATTGACAAAATTCCAGGTGACTAGACAAATTTGAAGTATATATGGAAAAAAAGCAAAGGACCTAAAATACTACCTTGAGGAGGTACACCTTTACTTAATCAAATATATTCTGAAAACATATTATTTAAAAGAAATCTTTGGTTTCTATTACTTAAATAATTGTTAAAAAATTTTAAAGACAAATTGCTAACACCAAAGTAATTAAGAACTTAATTACTTTACTAAGTAAGTACTAAGAGTAGTATAGTCATCTAGGGTATCGAATGCTCGGCTATAATCTAATAAAATTAAGCAATTATCTGCAACACTGTAGATGTGTGGAAGTACTATGAGATTTACGAAAACCCCACTGACAATGAGGCGAAATAGTTTTATTTTTCATGAAATATTCTTTAAACTGCTCATTAACAACTTTTTCTAATATTTTAAACATAACTTATTTGCCTTTTTCAATAATTCGTGGCCACACCAAACACTTATTAATAATAAAAGTAATATGATCACTTATCTAAATGAGGTAAAAGATAAAGTATAATTTTCACAGTTAAGCTATCAGGACCAACAGCATTCGATTTAATATTAAAAATAATTTTTTCTATCGATAAATTAGGTACAGGAGAGAAAACAAATTCATTTACAGGATTTAATAAAATCACAACGGTCAGCGATATCATTATATACCAACATATTGCTATGAGCAAAAGTTTCTTTAAATGTGTCACCACTGGCAATATCTGAATACGATTGAGGAGCGTCCATACTCAAACAAATGTTAAGTTTTCCAAAAATGTTTTGAGTTTGTCTTAAAGACGTGATTTAAGTATTCCCTTTTCTCAGACTTAACCTTACCAGACTTAATCGATTCATTCATGTGTCTAGGTAAAAAGGTCTGTTTTTGTGGTTTACTTAAAAACGCAGTAAAAGCTAGGTTAGTGACCGAATACGGTAGGTCAAGATTCACTCTCGATAAACCTTTGTAGGTCACCGGTCACGAGCGGTTCGAAAAGGAGTTTAAATAAAGATTTAAAAATATATTCTTTCAGCGTAAATATGCGTGTTAAATTTTTTTTAATCGCGTATTCTACTCATTTCTCCTTATCTTTCCATAAAATTAATGACATTATGACTTAATCACCCTGTATATTCCTCGTATATTTTTAAATTTGTCAAGAAATGTATTGATTAAATAATGTACGCGAATGTGTACAAGTCAACAATATATAAAAAAGTTTGTATTTTTATATGAAGTTACTAATATTGTTTGAGATTATCGATAAAATATTATAAAAATTGCGATCTTTGAAGAATTTAAAGATACTTCGAAAATGGCTATCTGATAGAGGTAATTTAGTAGATACCTTCACCATAATCATAAAATTCATGCCATGGGGAACAATTCGATAAACTTAGAAGTACTCGTATAAGAATATGAAATAGTAATATTAAGTGTAATGTATTAATTATTTCCATTTCCTTTTACGTATTCAATCTTATTAATAGTTTTATTAAATTATATTTATATTTTTTAAAGTTATTTTTGTTTAATTTTTAATAAGACTTTGGATTCGACTTACCTAAGGATATAGTATATACTGATTACTTAGCGTCTGGAAATATGACACCCTTGTAATGTAAAAGGGTACTTAAGTTAATACTTACTGAGGAAAATATATTCATTTGGAAAATATAAACATCAGATAAAATTTATCTTTGATACTGAAATAAACATAATACTTAGTACATGTTCAGTGATATGAATAAGTATTTATTATTTGACCCAAAAACTGTCAACAAGTGATAATAATTAATTTTTATATTAGCATATCGAATTGATCGAATGTTTGCGATTTTAATCAATCAAAACATCATTTTAATAATTGTTATTTATATAGGTACAGGTGTTTATTTAAATACATATTAACATATACTTCAAATAATAAATGAATGTCCCAAAATATATTTGCTTGCACTGTACCTAATGCCTTATTGCTTTTAGTTCAAATATCCGTCTATTCTTTCCCGATATAATGTGTCTTGGCTGCATTGGAATCTCAGTTTGTACGCGAAAGAGTCAATTGCTGCAAACGCATTGGAAAGTATTCGAATCAGATCAGCCACGTCGTCGTCGCCTGAAGCGTACACCAAACTCAACGGTTCAAAATCTTGGAGAATATTGCGATGGCTTGCATTGGTATCTCGATCTATACGCGATGTAATATGATTTATGAATAAGGGACTATTTTTAACAGTTTTTTTAAGGTGACATTATAAAAAGTGTAATTTTATTTTAAAAGAATTGAAGTTAACTTTTCTTTAAAATGTATTAAAAAATAATTCGCATGGTTTATAACTTCATATTTACTACATACTATAGACGTTAACATAGCAATTACTGGTTTATTGCGGTAATTGCACAAAAGCGAACTACAAAAGTTGTTTTTACAGTATTTTCTTATAACACTCAAGAGCTAGAATCAGTTTTAGAAGCTGATGAAGTAGCAAGCACTTTTTACCCAGGAAGTTAATTAAGCTGTATGAAATATCGTGCAAACGATTTCTGACAATACAAAGGTAAATATGTGTCTGGAAACCTTGACAGTAAATATTTTTCTCGCAAATTTTAGGGAAATGAAAAAATCATTAATGCAATAGTAACGTTATTCAATACTATATGTATTTTTGAAAGAAAAAAGGAAGAATATCGAAAAATTTAAAGACTTTCCACGAGATTAAAAAAATGTTTTAGGGAAGCAACAAACGACAAACCTGCATATTAGAAATGTTTGCTATTATATTGTATGTATGTGCCATTTCCACCTCAACCGGGCCACCTTTCTGCCCAAAATTTATTACATCCAAAAAAGGTCAAAAGGATACCAAAATTTTCGTTGAAATGTCTACTTTCGAATGCCTCTCGCTTTTTGAAAAAAAAAAAAAAAAAATGGCGGCTTAATATGGCAGCTATAAGCTGAACAAACATGATAAAATAAAAATATATATAATTATTAATAGTATTTGAGTTTAAAAAGCTTAAAAATTTAACAAAAACGCTATATAAAGTAAGTGTTAAGGTAACCAATTATTATTTTTTTAAATACGTGACATGGCGGATCTAATATGGCGTATAAAATGGAAGATATCCCAAAATATGCCCAAAAACGCCAATTTTGCCGCCATATCTGCAGTACTCTTCATTGCTGAATTACAATTGCTGATGCATAGAATGATAAAATTTAATAAACATTTGAAAATAATTAAATATGGCCGATTCAAGATGGTGATGGCGCTTTAAAATAGGTTAACCATGCTAATTTTAGAAACATCTTATTTACCTACTGATTCAAAAAGATATCAAGTTATAGCAAGTGAAAACATTCGATATACTCTTTATTCAATAAATCAACAAATCCAATTTGGTAATAACCAATATGGTTACCAGAAGCAGGTAAGAAATATATTACATTGTAATTAATTTATCGGAGTGAATCAATGTAGCTTAATCCACCGGAGGGAATTAGCAAAAAAGATTTTTTTAATAACCTATCCTATCGGAGTGAAGATCCTGTTTGTTAATTTACTCTGGCAGAATCAATTAACAAAAAAAAGTAGCTACGTTAATTCATAAGAATAATCTTATGTATTTTGACCCATATTCCAAGCGTTCCTGCCTAACCTCGAAAACACCCAAAAACAATAGTTTTACAGGATTGTGAATTACAAGAGCTGTATAAAAATTACGATCAAAGCTTATTGTCATGTATTTTTAGCCGTCAAATACGAATTTATTCCTATTTTGGTCCTACAACCCAAACGTTCGCCCCTAACCTCAAAAAACGTCCGAAAATGGTAGTTCTATGCAGCTGAGAAGCGCAAAAGCGGTAGAAACTTTACGAACAGAGCTTATTTTCATGCATTTTATCCGACTGAATACAAATCTAATAATTTTTTTTAACCTATGATTTAAACATTCTTCCCTAACCAAAGAACACTCGAAAACATCAGTTTTAAGGGGTTGTGAATCACAAGCGCTGTATAAAAATTATGATCAAGCTTATTCTCATGTACTTTTACCCGTTAAATACACTTGACTCAAGTGTTTGCCTCTAATCTCAAAAACGATCCGAAAACAGCAGATGGCGGATCTCCAAAGAGTCGTTAATTTCAAGAAGTTCGAGATACGAGTTATGAAATAGTTTTTTTATATAGGACATTTCCATATGACTAAATATCTTGACATGCTGACTTCAAATTGCAAATTATAATATTAAAAATTCAGGTACTGGTAATGCTGACTGAAATCTTTTATTTAAGTGTTTTGCTGATGCTATCCTTTACTGTAATAAAATATATTAATGTTTTTAAAATGGTTTGTTGAAAGAAACCACGGGAAGGAACGGTGAATGTCCTCGGTAACTACCTTGAAACGGATACAAGTGCCAGCAACTACGCACCTGAGAAATTGCCATTCAATTATTCAATAAAAACTATTGAAGATACGACGACAAGGAATCGTGTATGTGACAATGACGAAATTGTGTTTTCTTTAGACATATTAGCCTTGTATTAGCGTTTTTCTGGCACTGCATATAAGTATAATCACCGTGTCATATATAATTTTTATATTTTACTTGTTAATTTATATGAGATAGTCTATATATAGTTAAAGAAAGATTTAGAAAAATGAACTTTGTTTTGAACACAGCGGGTTATTATATATTATAATTAATTAAAAATAAATACAAATTTGTTACATTTAACACTAGTGTTGAGAGGAAATAACTTCTAAAATTGATGTCACAAATTGATATTTTTGATAACAAACGTTAAATTCTCTGGTCAATGAACATAAGTTTCCATGTCAGATGATGATGGAAATTCTAATACGACGTTTGTTTCAGTTATCACGATGAATATCAACAAATGAACGAGTACACTATGTCGCACTTAATCACCTGAGATTCGCTGTGGCACCCGGAGCCATGCCTCGTTGAAGGGGTTGTCATGGCAGGCCTGCTGCTGTTGGGGTTGCTGGCCTGCGTTCCTCTGGCTTCCTTTCAACCTCCCGTTCTTGTCCTTTCCGAACTCTGCTACTATCCTCTGAACTTGCAGTATATTGATCAGGAGCTGAAACATTCCAACCTTACTGTCAGCATTATGAAGAAAGAAGGTAAGAACGAAATTTAAGCATATTCTTTTTTATGAGAGCAAACAATTTTCGTTTCTTACGACTTAACGCATACTATATACAGGGTGTTTCGGGATTAAGTCGAAAAACTTTAAGGAGATATTCCTCATAAAAACATAAGAAAAAAATCAAATATAAATTTTTGTCCAGAGACGCTTCATTTTCGAAATATAGGGCGTTAAAGAATTTTTAAAAAATTCGAATTTTTTAAATAACTTCTAAATGAAGAAGGCTATTTAAGCCAAATTTGGCTTGACACATCTTCTTATAAGATACCATTTTTCCATAGAAGAAGTCCCGCAAGCAGAGAGTTATGCGAGACTTATAGTTTCATGGCAAAATTGATTTTTCGGAAGGGTGCTTCTGGATTCTGTCGATAAACTTTAGGAAGACGTTCCCCATAAAACCTAAAAAAATATAGTACCTATTAAAATTGGTCTTAGTCTCGAGTATGTGTGAGTCAAATAAGCCTTTTTGTCTCCCCTTCCCTTGGGATTAACCGATACTATTAAAATTATTTAGGAGATGCTTCGTTTTTGAGATATAGGGTGTTTTTTTTTAGAAAAAAAATTATGTTGATGAAAACAACAGAAATATTTAAGTACCTAACATGTAATGCGACAACGTAACGACCCTTGCAATACTCCTAATTTTTTTCAGGATGTTTGTAGTCACTTCATTTACTTGTGTTGTGTACTTTTAAATAAAATAAGATGGCAAACAATACATGAAAATTTATTTGTAAATTGAAACAACCAAAAAATTACCAATTAATATTATACCTAGACAAAGCGAAAAGTGAATCAAAAATGAAATGATTTAAAAAATATTTTGTTCAAAATGGGCGCCTCCGGACTCTAGACAAGCACGACATCTTCTAATTATGGAGGTAGTGGCCGATCGACACTGAATTGGAGTTAATTCTCGACACGCTTGAACTACTCGCTGTCTTAGATCTTCTAGGGTATCAACTGGCACCTCGTAGACTTTTTGTTTAACAGCACCCCAAACGAAATAATCCATCGGTGTCAAGTCCGGTGAACGTGCGGGCCACGCTGCAGGTCCTCCACGATCAATCCATCTCCTGGGATAATTAATGTTTGACCACTCCCTAGGACCTCTACCAAATTGAGCAGGATAACCATCTAGTTCAAACCAACTGTTCTTTCGAGTATTAAGCGATTTAACCGATGCGGAAGGAAGTAGGGACCAACTATATTGTTGTCCAACACACCCAACCATACGTTACATTGGAATTCATGCTGAAAACTATGTTCCCTTACCACCCGTGGATTCTCATAGGACCAAATATGGTTGTTCCTTTGGTTTAAAATTCCCCTTCGAGTATGTAATGTAATGTAAGCATCTCCTAAATAATTTTAATACTATTGGCTAAACCCAAGGGAAGGGGAGACAAAAAGGCTTATTTGACTCACACATACTCGAGACTAAGACCAATTTTAATAGGTGCTATAAGGTGCTATATTTTTTTAGGTTTTATGAGGAAAGTCTTCCTAAAGTTTATCGACAGAATCCAGAAGCACCCTTCCGAAAAATCAATTTTGCCATGAAACTATAAGAGTTAGGAAAAAAGTTAATGTACACTTTTTGTCAATAACAAACTGTTGTATCTAAAAACAGCATCATTTTTTATTTTCAGTAGGGCTGTATAATTTTTTTTTATAATTTAATGAGTTTGAGTCCCCATAACTCCGCCACTGGTAGCTCGCGGGACTTCTACTTCTATGGGAACATGGATTCTTATAAGAATATATCATGACAAATTTGGCTTAAATAGTTATTTAAAAAATTCGAATTTTTTAAAAAATTGAAGCGTCTGGAAAAAAAATTATATTTGATTTTTTTAAATTTTTTATAGGAATATCTCCTTAAAGTTTGTCATCTTAATCCTGAAACACCCTGTACATTATTCTTTCTAAGAAACTATAAAGATAAGTAGTTAGTAAATCTTTCGGTGCTGTAACGTAATTGCGCCGAGTTACATTTTTCTTCAACTAATGAGGATAACTACTTTATTATCATTACACAAAATATTGCAACAAACTCAGAGCAGTCCTTTTATATTCGTAGTTTTACATTCCAATGTTGCTGTCAATATTATGGAAATAGAAGGCAAATATAAATTTTAAATACTCATTTTTAGAAAAGAAAATACATTTTTAAATGAATTTGGTTTAACGTTCGTTTGTTTTTGTGCCAAAATATTGTTCCATATAGGGCAACGTGACATTAGCTCTTGGGTATGTATTTTTTTACTCTTTGGTAATATAGTGTGTGCCTATTATAATGGAACAAAACCGTAGAGTAGTATTTACTCTTTTTTGATACTTACAATAAAAAATACATATTTTTTCTATGCAAACATCATGAAATGCTGTATTTTTTATCGCTCTTGTGAATATAAGGCCTACTAATATTATTTTAGAATTCCTTCCAAATATAAGTAATTTGTTGACCAAAAGTTTAAGGTACCAAACCTAACCTAAATTGCTCAAAATGCTTTGGTACTCTGTCTTTGCAGTAGAAAGTAGGTAGTATATTACAATGACGGTTTGCAAAAATCAAATTTGTCATGATTTGGTAATGAAGTGTGATTCCTAGGCCCAAATAGAGAATTTGCGTGTAGAGAAAATTTCGAATGAAATTGTTAAAATTAAAATAGGGGTGACAAGCCTTTCCGAGATTTGAGGGTATATTTGCAAATTTTATGTAAGTATTTTATGTAAATGGTATGTAAAGACAAAACAAGTTATAATCATTTTTAACAGTATTTTCTAAATTCTTTTGTTGACTGCACTTGAATACTGTTTTATGTAGGTTTCTTTCAAGATCTTATGACAGTGCTCCAAGAAAATTTCTAGGAAATTCGTAAAAATTTATAAAAACTACAATAATTTTCATAAAAATCTATGAAATTTTGAGATTACGATCTGTATCCTATAGATAGTGAATATATTTAACAAAACTGTTAAATACATTTTCCGAAGTAAGTTGAACACGTATAAAAACGCCTAGTAATAAAATTTAATGAGTTTCATAGGTGTCCCTAAAAAAGTTTTCTGCTAAAGGTAGAAAAATATAATAATTTGTATATAATGTGTAGAAAATTTCTATTATATATATGTTCATTTGGCCAGCAACATATTTTAATTATTTATGTCCTTAAACAATTTTATGGTAAATTTCGCTTTGTTCCGTTTCAAAAGGTGAGCAAAATGCCATGTTGTAATAATATCAGTAAGCAAAATATACCTCTTATTTCTCCCTTTCGCAATTGTAATATGCATTAATAGAATATGCCTATAATAAATTACCTGGTTCACACCAAATTTCGCATTGCTGTACATCACTGCTAGGCAATTTGTCAACCACTTGTCAACAACTGAGATTTATTGCCCAGTCGCCCAGTGCGGCTGTGTTATACGCCTTTTGCCCGTAAGCGCATTCTTCAACTGGGCGTATAATTTCTACCACGTTTAGTTCGACCAGACCTGTATATGGGTATGGCTAAATAAATACGGAAACAAGTTTTTCAAATATTTCAATGCCGAGTAGCTGCGTCAGCGACCAAACCTGGTACATACTGTCAACCTCTTCTATAGACTATAATGTATAATACAAATTATAGTTAGTCGTATTTTCTGTACTGAAGGTGTAAATTTGAATGGAGGTCATATTTATACGCAGGCTACATTTAACCTTTAGAGACTTATCAATAGTAATATTTTTTCAACTTCGCAAAAACTTAATTTCTTTTAACCTTTTTCTAGTAAATGTGATATCAAACAAAGACGCGCGTTAGTCTCAGCGCATGCACAGTTGGGAACTGGGCTGTGCATTGTTGTCAAATCTCATTATTTGAAGAAAAGTTAGTTAAAAAGCAAATTTTTACACCGCCTGCCGTAAGATACTGCTCTTTGGCGCATTATTTTTGTTGAGTATTTGTTTGCCAGGAGCCCTATCATTGCATATAAACAAAAATTTAATTCTTTTACAGAAAATAAACTATGAAACGGTACTTAATAAGCAGTAATCAATAATGATAAATGAAATACAAAAAAAATAAGTAAATCTGTTTACTCACTTGATTTTTACAGCATATGACATACTTAAAATTTTGTGGCTAATCTTCGGGTACCTACTGGAGCATCTTCCACGGGGTTTAGAATTTCTGATTAAAATTTCTCATTCTCTGAATTTGTTCTCATCTAACATTTGCTCATTGTAATCTTACAAACAATTTCTTATTCGGTACTTGACGGTCGGGCTAATCCATCTGATATCGTTTTCTGTTTTCTCATGACAAAAAGTGGGATATAATTAGACTCTAACTCTTTCTTGATTCATATACATTCATGCTTTTTCATAATATCATACAAAAATTTAAAAATTAAAACACAAAAATACACTGTACCGTTACTAAATACTGAAATAAATAATACCACACAAAGGCACAAACACTCCCTCGTAAACCAATAAAGCCGAAAATTAAATAATAATGTAACAAACCCGTTTATCATCCAGTCATAGCATACTAGGTGTGAAGTCAATTTGCAGTAGCCTCCTCAAATGCGGAGATCACCTCTCCTCTCAAACCAACTGCACAGCTGTGGCTAACTTCTGTTGCTCTTCGGAAGAGCTCAGAACAAAATGGGATTCTGCTTAAATTTAAACCGTTCGCGGTATTATAATTTTGTTGCTATTTTATTTTATTTCGAATTAATTTAATATGTCTAGCACCGATTCGCGTTGAAGTGGCTGAATAAGAAAAAATAATGGAAACACCTACACACCTGTTTCAATTTTTCCAAATATGTTCATTTCTACGGTACCTAGTGGCAGTAGTATAGTTCAGCTAAACTAGGTCAGAGGGCATTGACACCGAGATTCATAAATTAAATACATACACTTCTTAAAGAAATATTAACACATAATTATAAAAACTTGAAACAAAAGATTAG